TAGACATGAGCAGCCACAACCATTCCACTGTAAGTCAGTCTTTACTAATTCAAATGTGCTAAAACAAAAAATCATTTCATTACTATCACACTGAGCTTTTTCTATTTTTCAAAAACAAAACATCAGATAAGGTGAAATAGAATGAATAACAATGAATTATTTTCTCTGAACTGAGAGGGAAAATAGTTTTTGCATTTTATCAGAAGTCTCATAGCTTTTAGTATATGTAAATAATTAGTCTTGATAAGCTAATGTAATTTTACAGTAATATCAGAAAATATACTCTGCAATGCAAAAGTATCATACTGACCTTTCAAAAAAGTTCTGAACAAAATCTTAAATAAACACATTTATCACATTGAGTCAAATTAAATAACTGGGCAGTGACATCAGCAAGTCTGAACACTAATGTTACTAATGGGATAGAAGCCAGTAAGTAAAAGCCAAGCAAGAGTACATGGGGTTCAGTTTAAGATAAAGGCACTGATGATATTCTTTGACTCTCATTACTTTCTTTTTCATTGTAAAATTTTAAAAATATAAATAAGGAAGTATAAAGACCAACACTACTGTTGACTATATGTGTAAATTGCACAGAATAATGTAGGCTTTTTATATAATAGCAAATACTGCTGCTATGTTATTAAGCAATATATTGCCACTCCACAAACTAAACCATATGGTCCCATCTGTTTCTAGGTTCCATTACAGTACACCTCCCAGTTAACAAACTGTTAACCAGAGGAAGCAAAAATACTTCTTTAACTTTTTCAAAATCAACAAGTTGTTGATATAATTTGGCAGGGAGTCTGATTTATTATGGGAGTTAGATTTGCATCTCTTCATCCTCTTGTGCTGATAATGATTTTAAACAGTATACAAACTCACTAAAATTGCATAGCTCTGGGACATGCTAGGTACTAATCACTCTACTTAAGCCTCAGGAAAAATATTTAGTTGCCCTGTGAAGTCAGTCCAGGTTTAATTATGGTCTGAGAACTTTATTCCCTGGACAGAGGTGACAACCTGGGGAGAACTTTGCCTCACCTTAGTTTTAAATTAGCCACTAAAACATCATGGGCAATTAATTCACTGCCTCATCCGCAGCCCACCCGCTCCAGGAGGTAACTGCTCTTCATCCTTCAAACTGGGCTCAAGGACTCATTAGCCTCTGTAAGTGAGTACCTATAAAAAATTCATTCTTATTTTCACTTTGGGTTGTAATTAATTTGACCATATGTCTCTCCTCTATTAAGCAACAGTCTTTTTTTTCTGTTTATGTTTTTCTTTCTTTTTTTAAAAAGATTTATTTATTTTTATACAAGAGCTGGGGTACAGACCAGAGGTGCGGGAGGGTGAGAGGATTCACCAGAGACAGAACAGCGAGCAGAACAGGCAGACAACCAAATACACTGTTGAGGGGAGCAGTGGGTATGACAGCAGAGGTCTGCCGCACCATGTGAGAATCTCCCTGACTGGCCGGGAATTGAACCTGCGCTGCAGAGGCTGCAGACAGCTTCACAGGGCCAATTAAGCAACAGTCTTAAGTCAGTCACTGTCTGCCTTACTCATCTCTAGCTCCAACTGCTTGCATATTTATTATCAATTTATCATTATCCATTAAAGAACTCTCACTAATGCTGTGCCGGGATGTAAAAGATGCTCAATAAATATTAAATAATACAAAGTTTCTTCCACTCCTTTGCTCAAAATTTCAGTTGTTTCATCCTTTTGTCCCCATCTTGCTGTTAGAACACAGCTACAATTCTGTCATCCTAGATTAGTGGTTCTCAATGAGGGAAGAGGGGGCGAATCATGTGACAATGCCTAAAGACATTTTTATTGTCTTAGCCAGGCTGAGGGGAGTGGATACCATTGGAATCTAGTGGTAGAGGCCAAGGGTGTACTAAACATCCTGCAATGTAGAGGATACCCCACCCCCGCCCCAGTAAAAAACTATCTGGCCCCAAATACCATTAGAGTCAAGGTTGTTCTACTCTACTCCTAGTCTTCTTTGCTCTATTCTTCCTAAAATCTGTGCTATCCTTATTGTGTTCAAAAGTTCTTAACACTTTTGTTAAAATATCTGTTTTTAGTTAGAGTTGCTGCTGAACTTTCAATACTATCAATACATCAGTACATCAAAATCAGGACTGGAATCAGGTTTTTAAAATTCTTATTCCTAATTTGTCTGTTGCACAACTTTTTTTTTTTTTTTTTAACTCAAATGAAAGCTTTAAATGAGGACACTGAGGGGGCGAAAACAGAATCTATGGGATGGCAGCTAAATTTTCCTCGGTGATCCAAATTTCTAAAGTTACAAAGGCCAAATGCCCCTGCTAATTTTATTTGAAAAATAAATTCTGTGTCATTGAATGTTGTATTAGGTATTGCAATTTATCTCTTATGCTGACTTATCCTTTTATCCTCTAGGGCCTCCCCGTTGGTGCAGGGGTTAAAGTCAGCACTATCAAATTATCTCTAGCCACTGCAGCATGAGTTCGATCCCCAAGCAGGGAGCCAACCCACATGGTGCAGCAGACCTCTCCTGTATCCCCCGCTGCTCCTCACAGCAGTATTTTAAACTAGATATGCCTGTTCTGTTCCCCAGTCTGTCTCTGGTGAATCTTCTCACCAATAGTGCACTATGCTCAGTGAAACAAGCCACACAGCAAAAGAAAAATATTGGATGGTTCCACTTATAGGAGAAATATAGGGGAACCAAATAAGGGATCTGGAAAAAAATACTATAATAAAAAAACAAAAATTAACAGGCAACTCTAAATCAGAGACATTCTGCAGAGGATGGGGAGGGAGAGAGATAAAAACAGGGGAGGAAGAGTATAAGGGACTATGGTGATAGTGCACAGATAAATTGGTGATGGGAATTTAATGGGGACTACAGATGAGAGAAGAAAGCATATATTGTACAAAAAGGAAGAATGAGGTAAAATACATAAAAAAAAAATAAATAAAATAGTACCCCTCAAGAGCCTCCCTGATGGTGCAGGGGTTAAGTATCAGTGCTATCAAGCTAATGCTAGCCACTGCAGCACAAGTTCAATCACCAGCCAGGGAGCTAACCCACATGGCACAGCAGACCTCTCCTGTTTCGCCCGCTGCTCCCCTCAGCAGTGTATTTCAGTACATCTGCCTGTTCTGCTCCCTACTTTGTCTCTGGTGAATCCTCTCACCCCCAGCACCTCTGGCCTGTACCCCAGTTCTTACATGCATAAATAATATTTAAAAATAAAATAGTACCCCTCCAACACCTTAATTTCTTTTCATATTAATACTTAGTTTCATCTAAAACAAGAAACCCTCACTAAAATTGATATATTTTTGACCAACCCAAGACTTGGCTTGGTTCTACTAGGCAGCTGTGCTTGTGATCTGAAGTGCTAGGACAAGTCAGAGTCATTGGGATTCATACTTAGCAAGCCACTGGGGAAGTCTTGATCTATGTTCACCTAAATCTTCAGAAACAATTCTCATGGCCTTCCACTGAATTTGAAGTTTCAGCTAGAATGTCAATGGTGACTAGACATCATTTCTCAAGTTTCAGTGAGAGAATTATTTTTTCATAGAGAGATGATTATATTTTGTATAGTTTCCACTTCTTTTGGAAATGGAATTATTATCCCACTGCTTGCCTATTATTTTATTTATGCTAGATGTTGTGAAAAGGAAGTAGAGCAGATTAGAGCAGTAAGAGGGAAACTAAATAGTCTAGATTACTTTTAAGTTAGACTTACGATGTCATATATTTTTACATGTAGTATTCTAAACATTAAGAGCAAGACTGGATATTTCAAGAGTAAGCAACTTATAACTGTGTTATAAGAGAATGTCTACACAACCTTCAGAAGATCACTATGGCATAAATTTCTAGCATTCCAATCCATATTATTTACATTGTCAGTATATGCTTGGAAATATTATACACCACCCACAAGTGGAATATTTTATTCTGCAAGTCTGGAAGGGCCCACAATACAACTAGTGCTTCCAAGAACAAGAGGCAATGTGACATAATGGATAAAGCACAGAATTTGGAGGAAGAAGACTAAAGTGGAAATGCTAGCTCCTTCACTAACCATGACTTTCAAGTAATTAAACGCCTGGTTACTGTTTCTTGTACAAAACTGAAACAATAATCTCTACCTCTCATGCTGAGAGGATGTATGCAAAAGCAGTCTGAAAACTAAAACATAGGGGTATTATCTATTATTAATAACTAGTTATTCTTTTGCTTATTCCTCCTAAATGCCTCATTGTAGATGTAAAAGTTACCAAAAAAAGAAAAACCACTCTCAGAAACAAATTAGAGACAAAGAAGGAAAAAAAATGTGGGGGGACTGGATATTCTGGCTAAAAAATAATCAGTATTTCAGCAACCTTAACACATTAGCTACTCATTAGGAATTAAAATTATGATATCCCCTTCTTTTTAATCAACACTAGCTGCTATTATTTTTGCAGTCGAGCCAATGGATAGAAATTTCTGAGTCCATAATCTATACTTTCTGTATAATTCCCAGATCAGTCGGAAAGAATAAGGCAAGACAGTAAATGGACCCTGAGTGAGACGGGGTGACAAAAGTATGAAATATCACTATCCAGCAACTTCATCTGCACAGAACAAGCAAAATGGAGGTTTCTACCTGCCCAAACAGCTGTTACCAAGTCTGTGCAGAGAAGATCACGCAGAACCTACTTTCAAATCAGTTTAGACAAATATGTTTCTTTAATCTCCAAGCTGATAGCAAATCAGAGCAGCAAACCGGGACAGGGAAGAAGAGATGCTACTAGCAGAGCAAGGGCAGCGATGTGAAATCAAAGCTAGCAGTTCTGACCGCAAGGAAGAGCACCAAAACAAACAATGAGCAAAAACAAACAAACAAACAAAAAAAACAGACATCAGATCTTAAAAAGCATGAGTTTGAGGTCATTGCATCTGGGAACTAACAGTCCTTCTTCTGAGCTCCAGTCCTGCTTACCAGGCAGCTTCCAAGCAGTGTTCCTGTGAATTCTGGAGAGGGCAGAGAGCCTCAGACCCAGCAGCAAGTGAGTGGCAGGGATGCGCCCGACACCAGGGGGGAGGCAAAGCAAGAGATTATCCTCCTGTGGTTGCCACCGTCCACCACAGCAGCCCTGCTTCATTCGGCTTTACTTAATGAGGCTTCCTTGGTGAAAGGACCCTGCTAAAAAAAAATTAAGTTAAAAAAATTTTTTGTAATTAGAAGTTGACAATCACTGACTTATACACTCCAGTATCCTTAAATGGTGATTTTTCCAATGCAGAAATGAATCTATGCTGGGCATTGGGGAGAGGAAGGGAAGAATAGGTGGATTACAGGGGATTTGGGGTGTAGTGAAGCTATTCTTTTTTTTTTTAATTTATACAATAGCTGGAGTACAGGCCAGAGGCACAGGAGAGTAAGAGAATACACCAGAGACAGAGTGGGGAGCAGAACAGGCAGATGGACCGAAAGCACTGCTGAGGGGAGCGGCGGGCGCGACAGGAGAGGTCTGATGCACCGTGTGGGAATCTCCCTGGCTGACCGGGAATCGAACCTGCACTGCAGAGGCTGCGGACAGCTTCACAGCTCTGTGCTCAATCAGCTGCTCCACTGGGGAGGTCCTGTAGTGAACTTATTCTATATGACACTATGAGTACACATCATTAAACATTTGCTCAAGCCAACAGAATGCATACCGCCAAGTGAACCCTTATGTTAACTGTGGGATGTAGGTGACAGGGATTTAACAGTAGCAATTTGCTGACTGTAACAAATGAATCACTCTGTAGAGGGCTGTCCACAGTGAGGGAGGCGTGAGGTGGGAGGGGGCATATGAGAATTCTTTAAATCTTTCACCGGATTTTGCTGTGAACCTAAACCTGTTCTAAAAATTAAAAGTTCATTAATTTTTTTAAAAGAGAAAGAAATGAACCTATCAGTTGTCATAAGACAGTTTTTCTTCCTGCAAACCCAATTTGCTAGCAGCACCACTCTAATCACTGGCCCAGATTAGAGACCATGGAGCCACCCTTGACTCAGATAAGCTCCTGGAAATCCTATTTCTCTCTCCTCCTTAATCCCACAGCCCTCAGGTCACCAAATCCTGTGGACAGCTCTGCTACTTATTTCTTAGCCATATCTCATTCCCAATGAATCTGCTTCCCTCTGGGCATCTGTCTTCTGTCTTCACCTTGCCAGCACACCCCCCCAAAAAAGCAGCCTCCTCACAGAGTCCTTCATTCCAAGCCTAAATTGATTTGGTCACACTTCTGAGGGACGCCATACAGTGAATGAGTCTGCAGGTGTAAGAGACTGTACCTATTTCCAGGGATTGAGATGAAAAGTGCTGTATTTGTGCTTTAAAATGGTTTTCTCCAAATTCTTCTATGAATATGTACTTATATATTGTTCATGGAAAAAAGCAGTAAATATTACAGGGGAGTGTGATTTGATGTTCTTTTTGCCAGAGGTGTGGGGGGAGGGGTGAGAGGATTCACCAGAGACAGAGTGGGAAACGGGGCAGAATGACTAAATACACTGCTGAGGGGAGCAGTGGCTGAGACAGGAAAGGTCTGCTGCACCATGTGGGTAGCTCCCTGGCCAGGGATCAAACTTGTGCTGCAGTGGCTGCAGATAGTTTCATAGGTTGTGTCCCAACCCCTTGGTCCACCAGGGAGGCCCTGTTCTTTTTTTTTTTTTTTAAAGATTTATTTATTTATGCATATAAGAACTGGGGTGTAGGCCAGAGGTGCGGGGGTGAGAGGATTCACCAGAGAGATTGGGGAACAGAACAGGCGGATCGACTGAAATACACTGCTGAGGGGAGCAGAATGCAAGTCAGGAGATGTCTGCTGCACCATGTGGTTTGCTCCCTGGCTGGTTGGGGATCGAACTTGTGCTGCAGTGGCTGGTGATGGCTTAATAGAGCTGTCCTTAACCCCTGTACCACCAGGGAGGCCCCTGATTTGATGTTAGTAACATCAATTTCAAACCCGGCTGTTCACAATCGGGCTTCACCAAGCTATATCCCCTTCAGCCTCACCAATTCTCACTCTCATCCCCCTTCACTCCCAGAAGGCCTGCAAGCAGCTATATCTTGCTTCCCTTTCAGATGGGAGCTGGCAGTCAGCTTCCTGGAAACCCTCCCTGCGCCCCAGGCAGCAGCATTACTCAGCTCCCGGCAGCTCTTCAGGGCTTCCCTAGCACCTCGTGTACAGCTTCACAATAATAATGGAAATCACACCTGGTGCCTTATACAAGTTATTTGTTTTCCCCAGAGATGCTGAGCTCCTCTGAAGCCCGCAGACCATGCCACAGAGTGGTCTGTACTGCCCAATACCAGATCTGTCACAAAATAAATATTGCATGAAAGAAGGTAAAAGCCACTTTTATCAATAACATTAACTATTGTATTATTATTAAACCCTATGCAATTAGTCTTCTAACCTGAACCCATAGCTTTGCTGATGGGATATAATAAATTCCTTTGAAATGCAGACTCATTTGCCATCCCTTCTTCCTGTACATTTAATAGTCTATTTACTTAAGGTGATGTCTATGGAGTGCCAACCTGTACTTGAATACCAGCAAAGTGTTAAACTGCCTATAAAATACATTTTAAATGTCTTTAAAAGTGGCGTGTGGGCAATTTCACAAGTTTTATTGATGTTTGCATATTGTGGGAGGTTGAGTTTCCTGGCCAAAGGCCGGTACAGAGTAGCGATTACAAACTGATGGAGAAGAATCACTAATAAACTGCATTATGGATCACTATTTGGGGAAGTGCAGATTTTTAACTGCCAAAAATACTCATAAAGCAATAAGGATGGCGTTTCAACTACCATTTCCCCAGCTTAGCCGGGTGTCAATGTGACCTCGTGGAAGCATCCTTTATGTCTGTGTGTCTTCACTATCCTCTAAGTAACCCTTTGGTTATGTGATTCTCAAGTTCAAACCTTTTAATATTTCTCTTTTCACCACAGGTTAAAATTTAGTGGTTCTCTTTTGCCTACAGATTAAAATCCAAATTCCTTAGAAACTAGATTTATCAAGTATCAATGATGGGCCAAAAATGATGCTATATGCTGGGTATTTCAAGATAAGAACTGGTCTCTTTTCTCTGTGATATTACAGTCTACAGGCAAGACAAATAATCTAAACATGGTATCATCAGACAGGTGATGGGTACATTATTGTAACTACTGTTATAAGGGTCAGAGAAGGCTTCCTGTAGGAGGGGCCATGCAAACTCACTCTTGAACCAGTAGAGAATTTGGTGGGGGGGGTGAATCTTAGAAGTAATATGTGCAAAGACCACCTCCTTCACCTCATAGACATAGTCTGTAATTCCCAGGCCTCAGGGTGACCTCAGTATCCTTCATTTCTCACACAGACTTACTGTAAGAATCTCTATTCCCATTATGCCTTCTATTTCACCTCTATTTATAGTCCCAAACCCCAAATGGGACCATTCTAATTACCCTTGTCAAGAGTGACTCAAAAATCACACACAGTAAAAATATAATTCAAACCAGGAAAAACATCAAGAAATAAATCCAAATAGATTACAGTTTTTTTGGATAAGGAATCTTATATTTGGGGAAACAGTTGGATATTTATTTTCCTAAGAACGACCTCCCACCCCTCTAATTAGGCTATGAAATCCTGGAGACCAAGATTTTATTTTGTTGTGTAGTCCCAAGGGCCTAGTTTGGGATCTCATAAGCAGTATAGATACAATAGAGACACAGAGTAAATAAGAACTGAATGAATAACTTATATAAGCCCCCAAAATTTTAAGTTCTATTTTATAGCAAGGATTATATCCACAAAATCACAACCTTTTAAAACCCCAAAACATAATTAATGCAATTGGGGGGGAATCTTAAAATGAATATTTGCATAAATATAAAGAAGGTGCCACTCCTTTGAAATAACACTTAGATACCAACTTGCCACTGCATGCAAACATAGCCAATACCTAATAATTGCTATGTGTAAATATCTAATTGACCAATAAGCCCCAAGGGAACTATTTACATACACAAAGGTTTGTGTTTGACAAACATCTGATCTGACTTCTGTTCCCAAAATGAAACTCTACTACCAGTAAACATCAGAGAAAGAATGATATACAATCATCTGCCGCAAGATAACATTTTGGTCAACAGTATACCACATTTACAATGATGGTCCCTATATAGACATTAGGTGTATAGCAGGATACTTCATCTAAATTTGTATAATTAAACACTACAATGTTGGCACAACAACGAAATCACCATTCTGAGCTCATTGCTTAAGCAATACATGACTATAAATGAATCAAGAAATGAAAGAAAATCACGAGGCCTAAGATTTTTTTAGGTTAACACATTTTCTCATCTTCCATATTCATTTCCACCATGTTTGGCTTCTAATAACCACTCATTTATAATAATCACTCTTATCATGGGAGTTATTACTCACTTATTAGTGGGACTGGCCTCCCACTTTAATGAGCAAATTGTGCTCATTTCTGTGTAGTCAACTGGAAACTGGAATTAATTTTTCCAGAGAAATGGTATAAAATGAAAATTATAAGATACTGTTAAAAGAAATAAAAGATGAGATAAAATATGGGAAAATATCCCATGTTCACAGATTGGATTAATAAACATTGTTAAAAAAAGGCCATACTCACAGACTTCTCCTGTCTTGCCCACTGCTGCCCTTAGCAGTGCATTTAAGTAGATCTACCTGTTCTCCCCACTCTGTTTCTGGTGAATCCTCTCATCCTTGCCCCTATACCTCTGGCCTATCCCCCAGTTTTCATATGCATAGATAAATAAATCTTTAAAAAAATAAAGGCCATATTACCTAAAGTCATTTACAGATTCAATGCAACATCTATCAAAATCCCAATGCCATTTTTCAAGGATATAGAGCAATTCTCAAGTCTGTATGGAACCACGAAAGAACCTAAATAGCCAATGTATTCCTCAAAGAAGTAAAATGCAGGTGTCATGCACCCTGGTTTCAAATTATACTACAAAGTGATAGCAATCCAGTTAGTTCTGAAAGGAACAGAAATACTGACCAATGGATACAATAGAGAATCCAGAAGTAAACCTACACAATTATGATCAATAAATCTATGACAAAGACCAAACAATGGAGAAAGAAAAGCTTCTTCAACAAAT